GAGCAGGACCACGAGGACCAGCTGGAGGCTGAGGTCTGAAACAGAGCAGGACCACGAGGACCAGCTGGAGGCTGAGGTCTGAAACAGAGCAGGACCACGAGGACCAGCTGGAGGCTCAGGTACCTGGGATGTCGTAGAAAGAGGGCAGAGGTTTGGCGCTCAGGTTGACGGTGGCCGCCCTCTTCCTCATCTGCTCCAGCAGAGTCTTCCTCTCCTCATCCTTCAGCAGCTCCAGGAACAGTTTGTGAGACGTCACCACAAAGACCAGGGACAGGTCCTCCAGGCCTTCACACAGAGTCCTGCACCACAGGCAGGTTTTAGGTCTGCTCTGAGCCCACAGAAGACTTGGAGCTGAGCTAGAACCGGGTCACTCACCTTAAGAAGCGAGCCATGCTCCTCCTGGACGCCTCGGACGGACGGTCCGTCTCCAGAGAGCGAGTGCAGACCTGCAGGACAAACAGGCTGTTAGAGCAGCTGATCTGGATCAGATGGACACCCTGAGGACCAGGTGAGACCCTGAGGACCAGATGAGCTCCAGGACCTCCAGCATGAAGTCCACACTGTGTCTGCTGGGTTTGAGGAGCAGCTGCTGGAAACCCACGCTGAGGATCTGTCCCTCCAGGGCGTCTCTGACGGCGTTACACACACACAGCTTGTGACACACGTTCTCCAGACTGGACTCCCTGCACCCAGAGACAGACTGGACTTCAGACCTGGACACAGAACCAACAGAGCCGGGGCTGGACTGGAGACCTCACCCTTGTTGGACCTTGTAGAGGAACTCCCTGAGGACGGAGTGTCTGAAGTGTCTCTGCAGACTGAGGGACGTGTTGTCTCTGATGAAGGCTTCGATGAGGGCCTGAAAGAGAAGGGTCAGGGTCAGGTTCTGGGTCAGGTTCTGGAGCGGAGCGGGTCCCACCTGCTGTCTGTCCCACCTGGTAGTTGTGGGTCCGGATCAGGCTGTTGATCTGGTCGTACTGGGTGGTGTGGGGGTCAGATGGGTCACGGTCTCCGGTCAGAGCCTTGCAGGCGTTCCAGTATCCTGCCAGACGCTTCCCATCCAGGTGGACGTGGACCGCCTGGTCCAGCTGAGACACAGAACCCTGATGAGTCCATTCGGGTCAGGATGAGGAGAGTAAACATTACTGGGTGGTGGTACCTTCTTCAGGAGCTCGTTGGTCTGTCTGAAGTGGTCCCGGGCTTTCTCGTAAGCTGATTGGTCCGTGCAGCCCTGCTGGAAGAAGATCCCTCCCAGATCGTAGTGGACCTGAAACGGGTCAGAGCTCAGAGGAAAACCCATCGCTGTGAGGAACCCCGGCTCGGCCAGCGGCTCACCTGACAGTGCAGCTCGTCGGCGCTGATCTGAAGCCCGGCCGTGGACGACTCCGTCTCTCCGTTGGCTGCAGCGTCAGAACCCATCAGGTCCAGAGTCCTCAGGGTGTGGATGTAGAAGTCTTTCTTCAAGCAGAGCGCTCCCTCCAGAACCCTGATGGAGTCGTCTGCCTGCTCCTTCAGCTGCCAGCAAACACAACAAATAACAGCTAAAGGCTTTTACTGCAACAATGTTAGTGCTGCTGAAACTGAGCTGAAAATGTTTAACAGCAAAAGTTTTATTGTAAGTTAAACTTGAAAAGCTGAAAGAAGAAAAAAAAGGCAGAAAATCAGTAAAAAAGAAGCAAAAATATAGCTGAATTAGCATAAAAAGCTAAATTAGCTGAACAAAAAACAACTGTAAGAAGCATAAACAACTCAAATCAGCAGAAAGAAGCACAGAAAAGTAATTAGCAACAGAATAACAGAAAAGGACAGACATATAGCTAAAATACTAGGAAAAAAGCTAAAACTAGCCAGAAAGTAGCTAAAATTGTCACAAGGAATTTAATAGGAGCAAAACCAGGATATAACGTGTAAGCTTCTGTAACGATTTAGAAACATTATGAAGAAATTTAAGGCTGTTGAATAAAACTCCATTCATTTCCAATGGGAAAAAAGTTTTGGCTACAATTGTTGAAGTTTTTTGAGGCTTCAACATGTGATGAGCTCTCAGCTACAGTACATCAGTTTCCATGTCAAAACCTCAAACAGTCGCTGAGTAAAAACCTTTAAAACTAGCTTTGGCGGCCATCTTTTTTTTCAGCTGCTCTTTATGATAGAGCTAAGTCATACCAATGTACCAATGTGTCAGCTACCAATGTATTAATTTTAGCTCATATCAAAAATGAGCCAAATTCAAGTAATTCAAACTAACTTTAGCTAATATCAGCTGAACATTAGCTAAGCATGCTAATAATAAAGAGAAACATGAAAACAATAAAGTCTGCCGGGGAGAAGCTGCTCACATT